CCCTGAAATTTCATGGAATACTCCCGCCTCATTCACGTGGAGCGTGGGAACAAGGTCGCAAAAAAGGAATATTTTCGCGCCAGAGGTGGTAAATTGGATTCGATTCAGATCTGCTATTGTTGAAAGTTACCTTATCACATTAGCTATCTGCATGTGGAGCTTCAGTTCTATATATCCAAGAATTATCTTTTTTTTCCTAGGAAATCACTTTCGTTTGTCTCCTCGGTAAAATACTCTCAATGACACAACTGCACGGTTTACAGCTACTGTATATTCTACAATGCCTTCATGGACAATATGCAGCTGTTGAAAATTCGAAACGTCTTCAAATTGGTTTTTTACCCATGCCGCATCCCAGCAGTGGGACGCAATGTCCCACGCGGCAAAAAAGGTGCGTCCCAGCAGTGGGACGCAATGTCGCCAACGTGTTAAGATCCATTACTAGTCCAGAGATTTAGAGGCGATGAGGTCGGTGAATACCGTTGCAGCACTGTGTGCATTGTGCTTTCCAGCTGTAACGGTTTCATCCGCATACGTGTAGCTGTGGTGGATCAGGCCAGCTGCTGACCCCATCCATCGGAATTACGGCACCAAAAGCCGTTAGAACATTCTTTCCCTTCTACTAAGAAAAGAGCCACCTCGAAAAACATACCGCTGGCTTGTCAGCCACGATCCCATACATCTAGTTCACTTGGTGTGCAGATACCTTCCTTGAACAGATCGTCCGGTCCGTAGGCTCGGAAATTGTACCACTATCGTGCTTCAAAATTTCGTGAAAGGCAGCAACCCACTCCTAAAGGAGATTATGTCCTGCACGCTGCCCTATACCACGCCCATCGCCTATATTTAAATGAAATGAACTGAGGTGGTGAGCTTTCTACTAGCTCTTTCCATTTTGCATAAAGAGAGTGAAGTGATGGGGGACAGAGCTGATATCGCTATGTTACCAGCAATAGCGGGAGGGGCTCCAAACTTGCACAGACATGCGACGAAGGGAGCACTTGAGGCATATCGGATTTTTTTATTTCTTTTCTTCTTTACTAGGCTTAATTACAACTGTGTCATTAGTATTGAAACATCCACCACCCACCATTTTTTGTTCGCGTGACCTGCCTGTGAAAGCATGGGGAGAGCCGTTAGTAACTCCATTCGGAAAATGGTATGAACATATACGTATGTGTTGAATTACAAGCAGCCACTTCAGCTAGGATCCTTTCCCATGGAATGGCAGACTCCGAGACACTCGACTGCTGGAGACGGGTGTCTGTTGCCAGTACCATAAGTTGGGAGGTTGCGAGAGGGTGCTTGACCTTACCTCACCAGCCTTTCACCAATAACGTTGGTGACAGCGCCCGCCTCCAGAGACCGTGCCACTGCCTTTAAGGGTTGGGTTATGCATCATCACTGAAGGCAGGAGGCTAGGTTCCGGAAAGGCAACAAATGTGAAATCCTTACTATAGTTATATGCGGAACGCTTAGGTTTGGTCTAAAGTTTACTTTCCAGAACATTGGCTATGTGATGACCGGTTTGATGGAATGCGTAGGGGCGTCAAGAAAGGTGATATTTTTGTTTCGTCACAATGACTAACTGAGTTGGCTTGCCTATTGTTCTCACTTCTTTAGGTTTTCGAGTACATGTATCGTGAACCAGAAATTCCAAATGATGGAGAGATGAAACCACCCCTTAGTGGGCGGATCGAGTTCAAAGAAGTAGAGTTCACCTATCCGTCACGGCCAAACAACAAAGTGTTGAAGGTAACCATTTCAGTTGATGCAGTTCATTTCTGGATTACAAGAAACTTCTTTTCCAGGGTTTGGATTTGGTTGTTGAGGCTGGGCGTACAACAGCACTTGTTGGGCCTAGCGGCGGTGGAAAATCGTCGATTGTTTCGCTGATTCAGCACTTTTACGAGCCAACCAGTGGCACCATCACGATTGATGGCGTCAATATAAAAGATATTTCCCATAGTTTCTACCATCAGAAGGTCAGTTTCTGCTCTCTTGTATGTTCGCCATGCAGTGATTAATTGTAACATGAATGCTGCGCAGCCACGTCTTTTGCAACATTTGAGCTATCTTTACGTCTCAGTTCAAAAGCATATGGCACGATATTTCGGTACTCGGTCTAAAATGCTAACAGGGTGCTGTATAGGGGGAAAATGGCGAAAAACGAAGTGAAACGGTCAAAACCTGCGAAGAAAAGCCTTCGTTCTTAATGACTTGAAAAGCAATTTCGGACGAGTTTCCCGTAGGCATCTTGCCAATAACCGCTACGGAAGATACGGCTGCATGTGTGTACTCATATATCCATGCAGCAACGCGGCCGCTTCATGTCCCTTTACTTTATCACAAGAATGCTGACTGCAAAAGTCGAACCTCAGGCGGGAGTCGAACCCGCACCTCACGCTTTCCGGGCGAGTGCGCTATCCGTTACGCGTAACGGAAAGCGTGAGGTGCGGGTTCGACTCCCGCCTGGGGCACGACTTTTGCCCATAACTCAGCATTCTTGTGATAACTTTCGGAACGCGAACTGCGGCGTAAAACAGCAGTTATCATCATAAAACAACCGTCGCTTCATATTTTACTTGGGAAGCAGCACGAGCATCAGAAACGCGCGTACATTTGTGGGCGGGCCGGCACGGTGGGTGTTCCGGTCAGTGTGCGACTTGATGGGGCGTTGTGACGGCAATTTTTTCCTTAGAGAAGGCGCTACTCTGCTCAGGGACGCGGACTTTCGTCATGTCAGGCATATTAATCCTACTCGTCTTGAGGAGTTATTGCCAACTGCCTTTAAGTTACTTATGAGGAACTTTTTCAGATTGCTCTCGTTGCTCAAGAGCCAATCCTCTATAACGGTTCAGTACGATACAACATACTGTACGGTTGCGAGTGGGCAACGGAGGAGGACATGCTCCGGGCGTCTAAGACGGCTAACGTTCATAATTTTGTAACTGAACTCGAGAAAGGCTACGATACTAATTGTGGAGAAAAAGGAGTACAAATGTCAGGTAAGAGTTTCGACTGGTTTCTCAAAGAATCGCAGTCACTTTCTATTCGCGTATCCCCGATCCAAGAATGATGCAGGGGTGGGTCAGGTAACCTCGTCATCCGGGCAGTTGATTAGGGCGGTCGTCAACGGGCCGCAGCGCGTGCCAGGAACTATTTGCTTTTCCAGGCTAATTTAGTCATTTTTTCCACCTTGTGAAGATAAGGAGCTGCTAATCTGGGAAAAAGTAGCCAAAACAGTGAAAAGTTGGAAAAAATGACTAAATTAGCCTGGAAAAAGCAAATAGTTCCTGGCACGCGCTGCGGCCCGTTGACGACCGCCCTAATCAACTGCCCGGATGACGAGGGTACATCGATGGTGGGTTATATTAGGTCATCCCATTCAAAAGTGCCGAGACATATAGAGGAATGGCAGAAAAGCAAAGGGGATAGGGAAGCGGGCTACTATACCATTTGGAGGCTAGTACCTTAGCTGTGTATCTGTGAAATTTGGCGAACCTACCCACAGAAGTTCTCGAGAAATTGAAAAGAAGCCCGAGTGGTGAAAATCGGCGCCGGTTTTTCAAATCAGGTGTCATAACAGGAAAGTGCGCTGCTCAATTTCGAGTGGCACCGGACCAGTAGTTGTGTATAATGGTGTTCTTGAAGTACAAGGTGAAAGTTTGGTTCAGGAGCCCGAAGAAGGAAGAGAGGAAAAAATTTGTTGTTCTGGATGGTCCCATAATGTTCATCCTGTACAAGGAAAAAGGGTGGATGAAGTCAGGCACTGAATATCTGATCACAGAGCCTGGACCTTTGTCGAGTTTCCCCGCGAGACTGACATCCCTGCTGCAATTACTGTACGTGTTATGACCGATAAACTGTGTCAAGGGGGTGTGCGCATGGGTACCTAATTTTCTTATAGAAGCACGAACGCAGTACCGATTCTATACCTCTAGCAGTAATGTTCTCAGCATGAGATGTCATTCACGACTGTGAAAACGCACCCCGGCCCTAGATGAAATATGGGTGGTCTTGGACCTCGAGCCAAAACTCACAATCGTCAATTTTGTATGAATGCAGATGAGAAGCCGCCCGAGTTCTACCATGAGGAGTTACGTGGGCGCAAGTGGATGATCATCATAGCGAAGGATTCCCACACTGTGGCTTTCAGGCGGCTCTATACAGAGAATAAAATCGTAGCTGTCGGTGTATATTGCCTGTTCCTCGGCAATCAGATCGACAAATGGATGATACCACACAACTACAAGAAGGCCACCGTTGCTCGTCATAGTGCCAGACCCCGAGTAACTGTATTGTAGGGCAGTGCTGGGACACAAACAATACTGAGACCTGGGTTCAATCGCCCCATTCGCCCGACCCAAAGCCGAGCGATTCCAATTGTTCTCGTCAGTCGAGAGTACTCTCCGACGGCAAACGCTACAATGTTTTGTCATTCGCCGAAATTGGCATCAACAGCAATTTACTCGCACTTGTTGAAAAATCGAAGGTACCAGAGGTCCAAAGCACTGGGAGCGGGTCATTGGTGAAGGGGATTTACTTAACTTGAAGCCAAAATATTACTTTTTTATCTATTCTCCTCTTTGTTTTATTCGAATAAAACCGACGGCACTTTTGAATGGGATGACCTAATAGAAGGTGATAGCAAGTAGTAGAGGGTGGTAAACGTCATTGAAGCAACTAGTAGAGTGTGAAAAATGAGATAGAGGTGAATTACCATCGAACGCCTTAAAACGTCATTCATCGCTTTGTTACTGCTTTTATACTGGAAAATAACAAAGGGTGCTGAAACAGAGGGGTCTAACTGCAGTTGGCAAACATCAAAATTTGCCGACGAGGCTGATATAAGCCAATATGCCAGATATCCTTACACCAGTTGGATCGCCCGGCTGACGCCGAGCTCTCCTCCTTCTCTTCAGCCAGGCTTCGCCGGCTGGGTTGGCTTCGCCAAGCGCACATCATAATAGAAAAGAAATTCCACAACTAAGCCGCTAAAATTACGCGGTACTGACTGAGTAGTAGATGAGCAAATTCTTTTTCCTATTACCTGCATCCCAGCGCCCACAATGAGCGCTTAACTTTCCATTACCTTGCAATTCACTCGCCGAAGCCCTATAAATGACTGCAGATGCCAATATTCGAGGTACATTAGTTGTGTATTTGTCAGACTACCTTATTATTCGTTTTCATCATTGATCAAAAGTTGAAAAGTAAAAAAAATGACATTATTCACATTTTTGATTTTCCAAAATTCCCGTTTCACGCGAGATACATAATCCCCCCCCCGCTCGCGACATCTTTACATGAGTATATTGCATGAAGTGTAAAGGCTGATCGGACGAACGACAACGGTGATGTTCCTTATCAGCCCCTATCATCAGTTATCAGTTTCTGTCACCCACCGTCGACGTCCCCACCTCGCCCGCTACATCACTTACTGGAGTTAACGCCTAGCAGATGCTGTGTGCCGCGCTGTGATGGTACCTTCCCATTCTAACTTCCCTTATCAGATCTTATCAGCTGCTAGCAGTTCTTGTCACGCACCAATAATGTTCTAGTCGCATACCCTGCATCATATCTTGGAATCAACGTGACGCTGCTGTCCCGCGTTATGGACTCGGTGGCCCTCTCACTCTGACGCTTCTTATCGGATCTTATCAGCTGGTATCACTCCCTGTCACCCACCAATAATGTTCCCGTCACAGCCCCATATCATGCCTTTGAACTAACGTCCCACTGTCGCTGTGACCCGCGCTATGGACTCGGTGACTCTCCCCTTGTGACGCCTCTTATCAGATCTTATCAGCTGATATCACTTCCTGTCACCCACCAATAATGTTCCCGTCACAGCCCCTATATGATTCCTTGGAATCAATTTCCCACAGCTACTGGGAAGGTCGCTATGAATTTCGTGACACACACACATACTTAGCGGATTATATATAGGAGGATCGCAAGCTGCAATGACAAAAGTTCGATTGTCAAAGTGTAGAGGCTCCACAAAAGGGCACACTGCACTATCACTCACAATCTCTTGTACCAGAAGTCACTCAACCGTTAAACTATCACGAGTTATAGCAAACCAGTCGGATCGCCCGGCTGTCGCCGGGCGCTCCTCCTTCTGTGACATGGCCCGGCTTCGCCGGGCCATGCGGATTTGCCGCGTGCTAAGTTAAGGATCGTTGACCAACCACACTGTTCAAAGGAATCTTCTGCATCAGCCAAGAACTGAAAAGCAGCGCTTGTTCCGTCAAGGCGCAGAAGCAGCAGCAGCGCCCCCCCCCCCCGCATCACAGAAGGAGGAAAGCCGGCCTTAGCCAGCGATCCGACTGGTACGTTCATAACCTACACGGAAATAGTGCAGCCTGTTTGGACAGCCACTGAAGCAGCCTATAATTACATGCAATCTGGTCTCCTAATAAGCGTCTTTGCTTTAGGAATGCACGTACGCATTCACAACAGTGGACTTCTTTAAATGGCCCTCACTGAAGTTGCTGATGGAAAATAATTGTGGTAAGAGTGATAAAGTCAGTTGCTGCTGTTCATAACATCTCTGTAAACAAACCACATGCATTTGGAATAGAGCTGGCTTAGCGGTCGTACACGATGTCGTTACTAATAAGCAGTGAGGAATGAGTTCTGTTGGAATCACTGAGATCGTTATACTTGAGTCATATCGATCGCATTGTTGTTGTGCGGTGAATCGGATTTTCCCA